AGAAGTTATTTTTTGTGCATCAGTTGACTGATGATGTCTGTAGAATAAAGACGAAACGTCTCAATTTGAAATGGTCATTTCAACATGTAAAAAGGTGATTTTAATCTTGATTTTTGCCATAGATATTTAGATATCTACATATTTGGATATTTACAGGCTGTGGTGGTTCACATTTTGCCGCTTAGTTAGATCTTTAGACATTTATTGTTTGTGCAGGTTCACATTATATAGGCATCTTGGATATTACATATGTACATATTTTATGTTTGTGCGCCTTCCCACTTTGCAGGCCACTTAGATATTTTCATATTCCGATATTTACAGTTGGTGCAGATTCACATTTTATAGGGCTCTTAGACATTTTGATATTTACAGTTATTGGTGGTTCGCATTTTGTAGGCTAGTTAGCTATTTAGATCTTTAGACAGCTATTTAGATACAGTTTGTGATGGTTAACATTTTCTAGTCGTGTTAGATATTTAGATGTTTCAATATTTACGGGTTGCGCAGGTTAACATTTTGTAGTCCTTTAAGATCTTTAGACATTTAGATATTTACCGTTTGTGCAGGTTCATATTTTGTAGGCCTCTTAGATAGGTAGATATTTATAATGCGAATGGCAAAAGTTTCAAGCGGAATATGTCTTATATGGCGTAAATAATATTGCAGAGCATGTCAGTGTAATGGTAAATGTGCCACAAAAGCGGGTGATGGGTGAGGGGGGTGTCCATGCAAAGCAAAAGGTGTCAAATGTTGTTCGAAATGTCACCCGAGAAAAAAGATTCGTGTTCAAACATGTTATAGTTTCAGCTATATATGTTTCGTGACAAAGTTTGTAAGTTTTTGTAAGAGTATGTGATCAGTTTGAAAGTAGAAAAAGTAGTTGATAGAAGGTGTCTATCTTGTGCGATTGTACGTGGAATGAAATCGATTATGTGTATGAATTCTTTTTCTTCTTTCTCCTAGGATAGAAAAAAGATGCTATCGTATCATATATTCCGGTTTCTCCTAAGAGGAAACTAGAATAGTAGTAGATTTGTTGTAGTCTAGGAGAATTTAGAATTCCCCTATAGGGCAAATTAGAATTCTAGTTTGTCCTAGGGGAAATTTGAATCCGTCATTTTCCTTGAAAAATGTTAGAGAAAAAGTACTATTCTAATTTGCGCTAGGGGAGATTAGAACTCCAATTTCCCCTAGAGCTATTCTAAATTGCCCTAGATTCTAATTTCTCCTTCAACATATACAAGTAAAGAATATTCGAATAATGAATAAATAAATACACGTCAGGAGAGAAAGAGAAAGAGCTCACGTAACACGTAATGAACGTAACAGCCAGGGATCCCAGATCGTCTGATTTTGGCAGAAAAAACAGAAGTAGAGATGGGCCGTAATGAAGTCGAATAAAATGGATACGTTTAATGTGAAGTATACGAAGCGGCAGAAGGATGAATTTTCTCATTTTCGTTCTCTTCACGGCTTGTCCAGCTAACGGCCTCCATTTTTGCTCTTTTCCAAAAAGTTATTGTAATAAAGCTACAAAGTAATCGAAAATGGCAACCAGATAATTAAGTAGATTAAACATTTCTCTACAAAATGAAAAGTGTCTCGGCTCTGAACGTTGATTTGTTATGAAAATACAGCTGTTGTACAAACAGCCCCAAAAATCGATTTTGGGTTTATCTAAAAAGCGTGTCTAAAAGAGTGAAGACGAGCTGGCAAACATTGAAGAAGTACACCAGTTTGTAGAAAATGGTTTGCCCTACAAGATGTAATCGCTTGTTAAGTTCGAAACTAGAGATGGCACAGCTTTAATAAAAAACGTTAGGCGAAACTACAAAATTTTGGGCCTTATTCGCAGTACAAATGCTCCAGTGCTTGACGAGAAATATCGAGTATCCGACAAAAAACATAAAGGTCTCGTGTAGAAACATCGAGTTTCGCGTTAAAAACCTGAAATGCTTCAAAAGTTACGCGTTTATTGTCAAAAACACATGACGTTCCTATAGAGAAACAGCGAGATTCTCAGAAAAGTGGTCGAATCCTAGGAATTGTTTTGGAGAACGGTCGAGATTTGCAACGCTTGATCAGCAGATCCATTTTTTGTGGAAAAACATGATGTTCTTCTGGAGAAACATCGAGTTTCACAGGAAAGAGGCGGAATTTTTGCGCGGATTTATTGAATTTTTCTGGAAACAGATAAAGATCGAGTTTCAGGAAAGCAGAGAAGTTTTGAGGAGAAACGGTGAGTTTTTCCGGCAACATCGACTTGCTGACAAAAAACATGAAGGTCCCCTGGGAACCATCGTGTTCTTTCAGCAAAGTTCTTGTGAAGAAGCACAGTTTCTTAGGTAAAAGGTGAAGTGCCTGAAAAGAACATGGGTGCTTTTGTTAAGAAACTTGATGTTCTTCTGAGAAACATCGAGTATCTCAGGAAAGAGGTGGAATGCTTGAGCAGAAACATCGAGCTTTTTGTGAAGAAACATCACGTTCTTGTGCAGAAAGATCGAGTTTCAGAGGAAAAACCTGAAACTGTTTTGTTAAGCTTCACTTTTTTTCTCGGAAACTCGATGTTTCTCGTGAAGCATTTCACCACTTTCCTTTTCCACTTTCCTCCATTCAGGCTAATGCACAGTTGTGACAGATGTTAATTCATCGAGTCTTTCAATTGACTTATTTCCATACTAAAATATTTTTCATTTCTTTGTCAATAATCGTTTCAATTAAGCAATACTCATGTTTACTTTTCAGCGTTTCATACATAATATTTGTAAAATGATCTACATTTTCATTTACGGGTGATATAAGAATACGAAGACTAACCAAATTTTTCATATTGTTAATCATTTCACAAAGCATAGATATTTCCTTATCATTAATACAACTTAAAGTCGATTCAATGAATTTAAATCGTAATTCAAGACCGTTTATATTTTGAAAATAATTATTTAATATCGTTCGTAGTTTGGGTAACTGGTTACAATCACATAACGATAAATATTCAATATTATTTTTAACAGAAATATTTTCTAAACATTGAATATCATGTATTACTAAGCTTTTTAAATATGGTACCAGCAGCAGAAGTCGATCAAGGTAGGATATACGTTGTTTAATTGTCAAATATTTGAGATGATTTAATCTTAATTTACTATCAGAAAAAGCTCCACTTTTACCGATATTTTCATTTGAGATTGTAAGACTTGTTAATTTTGAAAAGTTTTCTGTTAGAATTTTAGCCAATTCAGAGAATACTATCGGCTGACAGGATGATTCAAAAATTTCTATTTGTCTGACACTCGAATAATCATGACTAGAACTACTATAAAGTAAAATTGGTGAGAGTGAATGAAAGCGATATGATGTATGTGACATTGATGGTAAAGTAAAAATAGAATAATGATTTCGTTCTTCATCATAATTAAATACAATATTCCATTTATTGATATTTCTAAACGCTTCTTCTGTTAATGATTGATATGATGGGGTGAAACACGTCGATTTACTCATTTTAAACTCAAGTTGAAACTGTAATTTCTCTAAATCTGGAATATTTGATAACATTTGACTAATTCTTGATCCATAAAACGGTAATGATGCTAGATTAATTGAAAAAAAATATACAATAGAAAAAAAACTTAATTTAGTTAAATAAATCATGTTAATAAATATTTTTTCCAGTTCTTTCAAACTGATCAAGGGGTTGTAGCAATATAAAGAAAAATCTTTTAAATATGGTAGTTTCGACGGCAGACTCTATAACAGAGATGGAAAAAAAATGATGTTAGTAGCTGTATATCTCTCCCCTAGTGAATATACTTGCCACCAAGTTCTTAAGAACTTGAAGCATGTACCCAAGGACTTGAACACGTTCTTAAGAAGTCTTGTATTTTCTGAGTACTTTCAAGGACTTGAGCAAGTCTTTATCAAGTAAGATCAGTTTACCCTAGTGAAACTTCTTGTACCTAAGATCTTGACGCCTTGAATTTTTTCAACAAGATCTTGGCGAGAAGACGTAGTACTTAGAATAATTTCAATTTTTTTTTGGTTTTTGAACATATTCATTCGAGGAAGAGCTTACGATCGTATGACTGACGACTATGGCTCTCATATAAAAAAGGAAAATTTAAGAAAAGTCTTTCACTCAAGATCTTAAAACATCAGGTGACGTTCATGCACTTCGAATATACTTGACCCAAGTACTTGGCCTAAGTACTTGGCTCAAGTAAATTACTTGTCAAGTATCCAAGTCCTTGAACTTGCAACCAAGTTCTTGTGACATTCCTTGTACCAAGTTCTTATCCAAGTCCTTAGTTACACTTACATTCACTAGGATAGAATGAAACATGATCCTGGCGAAAGATCCGATGGCCTGGTCAGTAACCTGATCAGATGACTGGAATGTGATAAGAACAGGTTATTGGTTTCCTGATCAATATACTGACTTTATCGAGACCATGATAAGAACTTACCATAAACATCACGAATTGTGGATCCTGCATTTTTCTGCTTCTTTCCACTTTTTATCGTAATTATTTTTTATACCGCATGGACGGTTTTATCTGTTCGTGGGCTTGAATGGAAATGTATTTATTTATTTTCTTCATAGAGCAAGATTCGCTAGTAGGAGATATGTCTAGCCTACATTGGAAAATCCGGGAGGTTTTTTTTATTCTGATTCGTTGGCAGAAACAAGAAAACAAAAAGACGATTGCTTTTCGTCGTCTTTCGGAAGTGATAAATCAATCATTTGATAACAAAGCATAACCGGATGAATGCGGCACGTATTTGAAACTAACAGCTGACAATGATAGTTTAGCCGAAAACCCTCTGAAATTTAGCATGAAAACTGTGCAACATTTCCTATTGTCTAAAGTAGCGCAAAAAATTCACTCAGAACCCGCAACCACAACTGCTGTAGGAAGGGCCTTCAGTGCAGCGTGGTTAATCGTAAATGAACGTCGATGCAATGTGAATCCATCACAAATTGACAATGTTTTGTTAATAAGATCAGTTGAAACGATCAACAGTCGAACTCTCGAGAAATAACGTGTATCTTTGTTTTAACGTTTGTACATGCCCTAATGAAACTTCTTGTACCCAAAATCTTGGGTTAAGAAATATCACAAGATCTTGAAAAAAGCACCAGGAAGTCAAGATCTTGGATTCTTGAATCTTTCACTCAAGGTCTTGAAACATCTTGGCTTACTCCACTCCAGATCTTGGGAACAAATTTCCAGATCTTGAGTGGCTCCACTCAAGATGTTGCAAGAGCTTGAAAAATTTGTGTGACAGTTCGTACTTATATTTACACACGAATGTAAAACAAAACGATGATTCAAGAATTTCCAAGATATTGGTACAAGAAGTCCAGAAATTACAAGACGTTCAAGATCTTGACTTCTTGAAATTTCTTGAATTCTTATATTTTCTTACCAAGGTCGTGAATCAAGATCTTACTGAAAAAGTTCAAGAAGTCAAGATCTTGGTTACAAGAAGTTTCACTACGGCATATTCTTAATGGAAAAAAATTAAGGGATGTAGGATATAGAAAATAAAATGGGCAGCTATTCTAAGATAAAAAGATAAGGTGGTTGTATTTTACTATGAAAAAATACTTTCGTTCATGAACAGAACGTCCGCGTCGCACGGGACGCGGACGCAAAACCTTTTTTAAGGTGTGATCCACGGGCGCCCATGGATGGAAAAACCTGCGTCCATAACAGTCTCTGATACTTTTGGGAGACAAACTCTTTTTCAATTTTTTAATCATACAACTCTCTGAGTACAGACTATCTACATCTCGATAGATTTCCGCAGAGACAAAGGAGAAAAACTAAAAATAAATATCATTTTTGTTCAGCTTTTCGATGCTCTCAGCATTTCAAATAGATAGAACAGAAATAAAATATCGTACAGAATTTCTATACGTAATGGATAAAAGGAGTGAATGTTTAAAATAATTTGTATGATCTGTAGCTGGAGTTATTATATACATCAACGTAAAAATTAATATTTTATCGATATATTTGGCTTTAAAAATTCTCTTATAACATATGGAATAAAACTCTTACTTTATAGTCATATGCAGCATCATTAGCAATGCATTGGTTCCGCGGCAGATTAAAAATAGATAAATCAGCCAATTTCACAGTCAAGTATTTTAATGATGGAAAATTGTCAAATATAATCAGAAGATCCTACGAAAAAAGATAAACCTCAACATCATTCATTATTTATAGTTATACTAATTTTACCTTATAATTAAAAATGTCAATTGATAGATGTTGCACGTAATAATTTCGTGATATGAAAGCAAATGAATCGAGAAAAACGCCAGCATATTTATTTGATGAAACATTCAGTTTTCTTAATGATTTCTTTTTTGATCCGAATAGTACATGTTCACATAGGAGAGATGAAAATTGTTTGAGAGGATGATCATCATTTTCGATAGATAATGAATAAAAAAAACATAAAAGTAAACTTATTGTTAATTCTTCGAGATTTGGAAAACAATTCGAGTAGA